CGAGTGTCGAGTGTCGAGTTTCGAGTGTCTAGTGTCTGAGTGTCTAGTGTCTGAGTGTCTAGTGTCTGAGTGTCTAGTGTCTGGGTGTCTGAGTGTCAAGTGTCTGAGAGTCTAGTGTCTGAGTGTCTTATATCCGAGTGTCGGAGTGTCTAGTGTCTAGTGTTTAGTATTTGAGTGTCGAGTGTCGAGTGTCGAGTGTCTAGTGTCTGAGTGTCGAGTGTCTGAGTGTCTAGTGTCTAGTGTTTAGTGTCTGAGTGTCGAGTGTCAAGTATCGAGTGTCGGGTGTCGAGTGTCGAGTGTCGAGTGTCGAGTGTCGAGTGACGTCGAGTGTCGAGTGTCTGAGTGTCGAGTGTCGAGTGTCTAGTGTCTGAGTGTCTAACGTCTGGGGGTCTGAGTGTCAAGTGTCTGAGAGTCTAGTGTCTGAGTGTCTTGTATCCGAGTGTCCAGTGTCTGAGTGTCTAGTGTCTGGATGTCTGAGTGTCTAGTGTCTAGTGTTTAGTATTTGAGTGTCGAGTGTCGAGTGTCGAGTGTCGAGTGTCTAGTGTCTGAGTGTCGAGTGTCTGAGTGTCTAGTGTCTAGTGTCTAGTGTTTAGTGTCTGAGTGTCGAGTGTCGAGTGTCGAGTGTCGAGTGTCGAGTGTCGAGTGTCTAGTGTCGAGTGTCTAGTGTCTAGTGTCTGAGTGTCGAGTGTCTGAGTGTCTAGTGTCTGGTGTTTAGTGTCTGAGTGTCGAGTGTCGAGTGTCGAGTGTCTAGTGTCTGAGTGTCTAGTGTCCGAGTGTCTAGTGTCTGAGTGTCTTGTATCCGAGTGTCTAGTGTCTGTGTGTCTAGGGTCTGGGTGTCTGAGTGTCTAGTGTCTGAGGGTCTAGTGTCCGAGTGTCTAGTGTCTGGGTGTCTCAGTGTAGTCCTATTATTTGATACCCATATTGTGGTGGTTGTGGAAAAATATGTACCTAGTCCGCCATATTGGAACGGCGTCCATCTTGAATTTTAAATTTTGACATAATCATCGTGTTTTACTAGTGTAGCCCTTTCATTTGATACCCATATTGCGGGGGTTAAGGAAAAATATGTAATCCGCCATTTTGTATCGGCGGCCATCTTAGATTTATAATGTTATTGATTTTATTATATTGTATTGTCATCTAAATTAAATGTGTGTACCAAATTTCAGATCAATCTGACAACGGGAAGGTGCTTAAATTCCAATTTTTAATTTTGACCCAAATAAATAAATACCGTACAGCTCGAGCTAAATAAAACCGTTTAAAAAACCGTTTAAAAACCGTTTAAAAAAAAAACACATAATTGAGATTCTCCGTCTTTTCTGAAATCGATTAAAAGCCAAGATTAGTGTTTTATATAATGACTAACTTTTACTCACGACTTCTTTCGCATAACCAGGATACATTAATTAACAGGAATGAAAAGTATCCTATGTCCTTCCCCATTCCCTACACACGTACAATATTACGTGTATATCTAATTTCATATTTTTTTTTTAACAGATGACAATGAAATGGTATCCCCGCTTTCGCTAACGGTATACGTTAGCGGGGTACCAATGAGCGATGATAGGTAAAAATGAAAAGGCAGGTCGACCTGATAGGTTATATTGCCAGCAATGAGACTGATAGTCTGTATTACTAACAATCCCTCCCCCCAGTATTTACGTTAATCACTAGAAGAAAATTCATTAACGGAATAACAACATTTTACCAATAATATCCTATAATGTCTACCTTGTAGTACTGTGCACACATGAAACCATATGTTTTGATTATTTGTATAGCAATACTAACAGTCTCTTCCCCCCCCCCCCCGCCCTTCACCTCATATTAATTGGTTAACCCGCTAATACACCAAGTGGTAACAAACAAACAGACTTTAACATTTATAATATTAATAAGGATTTAGGCGGAAAAAGCCATGAGATATAATGCTATACTTATACCGGATTTTGTTATCAACTTAATAATTATTTACATAGCTACATCTGTAGTGGGACAGTAATGCTTCTACATTGAGGTGAAGGCTGCCGTTCGACCGTCACGATCTGCGCGGGCTGTCTTAGACACCTACAGACTTTTTTCTTAATGTATTTATTTTATTTATTTATTTATTCTTTATTGACCATATTACAAAAAAATGTCTGGTACAAAAGGCGGACTTAATACTATATAGCGTTCTCTCGCTTGACTACCTTTGGCAAAACAGAAATTTTATTATGCGGTGAAAAAAATCACAACACATACAATAGAGAACTACTGCACATTATGTTTATATAAATATACATACATGAATACATTAAACAAATATTACGTAAATATACAAATTTGTCATAAAAATACATACAAATATAAATATCTCATATATAAAATTCTCGTGTCACGGTGTTTGTTACCAAACTCCTCCGAAACGGCTTTACCGATTTTCATGAAATTTTGTGTGCATATTCGGTAGGTCTGAGAATCGTTTAACATCTATTTTTTATACCCCTTAATGATAAGGGTGACCCACCCCTAAAATTTTTTTTTTACTTTTTTGACATTATTTTTTATTTTTATTTAAATATCATTTAACATAAAAAAAATACATATAACTTCAAATTTTCATCGTTTTACGACCAACCCCTATTTTTTAATCGCGATTTTTATATGCCGCTATTGGGTTGCAAGATGGCAATCGAATATAACAATTGTAGAATGATAAATTTTCATGTATAGTTCTAGAAATAATGAATATGGTAAAACAACGTTTGCCGAGTCAGTTAGTACATATATAAATATACCTACATACTTATAGATTATATACGATAACACAAACAACGATAGAGATCAAATGTGATGATGATGAAGATGATGAACTGCTTTCACAGTTTTTTCCAAAGATATTCATAGACTTCTCTCTTAAAAATAAATTTGTTAGACATTTGTCTTATGTCCATGAGTAGCGCTATATGTATGATAGTAAAATGGTATCTCCGCCTGCGCCAATGATGTACGCTGGCGGAACACCAGTGAGGGATCATCATATCAGCCTTTAACTGTCCACTGCTGAACATAAGCCTCCCCTTTGGGAGCGTTTTGCCAGTATTTGCCACACTTGACAAGCGGATTGGCAGCCGCAGTCAGATTTTGGAGATAATTCAAGAGGGACGCTGCTGCTCATCCCTCGCCGTTCCTTAATAACCTCTTACAACACACACGGGAAATAAACGGGTGGCCTATTCTACGCCGGGACCACACGGCACCAGTGAAGGATAATAGGTGAGAATGGAATGGCAGGTCAGTTAGCCCATCGTAATGAATTCAGCACGTTGGTTTCCAGGTCGATCTTCCAGGGTATGTTTCTAGCAATGGAACTAGTAGTCCGCATTACTAACAATCCCTTCCCCTCCCCCTCAAATAAAGAGTGTGAAGAGGAATTGTTCAATATCCTGTGATGCCCACGGTCACTTTCTATCATCGCACGGTTCGCCATCGACAGGGAGTTCACCCTCATACCCTACAACCTATATGGTCGTGTACAACACGGTTTCAAAGATGTTTTCTCCCATGAAAACCCATTTGTAGACTGAGATTACAGTATGGGGTTCTTCAAAAAGGAGGTAAAGAGGTTTCTCCAAGGTCGGCAAAGGTTCCCTTGGTATTGTAGGCGTTCATAGGGTACGGTAACTGCTTACCATCAGGTGGGCCATATGCTTGTTTGTCATCTAAGTGGTATAAAAAAAAAGAAGTGTAATAACCAAAAATTGTGTCTAACGCAAAAACCGACTTCAATTGTGAGAAATTCAGTTATTTTAAATTAAAAACTAGACTAATGAACAGATTTTAATAAATTTTTAATGGAATGAAGTTTGGCTTTTTGGGTTGCCATTAGCCATTTTCAAGTTTAATTAAAAAGTAGGAAAATTCACACGAAAAAAAAAATAAGAGTGTAGAAGCAGAAAATTTAAGGATAGAATTACAGGATCAGGGTAGTTGAAAGGACAATTTTCTCTACAGAATAAAATTCACTGTGCAGAAACAGAGTTGCAAGTTCAAAAATTAAAAGTCTTTCATCAAATGCCTTCGAAACATTATTAGTTGTCACGGTTAATTTCCTTTTTTTTTTACGGCGCAAATAATTTTGTTCATATTAATATAATAATTAGTAAGTGATACAATATATTTTTCACCGTGTGGTCCCGGTATAGAATGAGCCACCACTTCCATTCCCGTGGGTGGTGTAAGAGGCAACTAAGAAAACTTTATGGTCGAGTAATCATCTGCAGCACCCCTCTTAAAATATCACTAAAAGCTTAACTAATGATTGCCAACCCGCCTGCCAAGCATGGCAACTACTGGCAAAACCCACCTTAAGGGGATGGCTTATACTCAGCAGTGGGCAGTTAACGGCTGTTTTTTTGATGGGTGAAAATGGTATGGTAACCCCGCCTGCGTTAACGGGATGCGCTGGCGGAGCACCAGTGAAGGGTGATAGATGAGAATGAAAACAGGCCAGTTAGCCCATCATGATGAATTCATCAGGAATTAACCATAATAGTTTCCAAGTAGAACCGCAAGGAGGTCGACCTGGTCGGGTATATTGCTAGCAATGGGATTCTTAGTCTCCATTACTAACAATCCCTTTCCCTCCAGTTAACGGCTGTTGTAAAAATACAATTAAAATACAAAAAAATCTTTGGCTCAATGTTCGATGGATTCCTCACAATGGCCTTACAGAGCGCCAGATCTCCACTTTGATTATCAATCATAAATAAATAAAAAATGCCTTTACACAGAAAAACAAATGGAAATTTATATACAACATTTGAATTCAATTGTTTGTATTATGCGGGTACCAAACCCGCGACAGCTGTGTGTGTAGACCGCTAGATCACGAAGGTCGCCAATTAATTGGTAAAGTCATGTAAATAAATATTACTTAATAGTATTGCTAAAGAAAATTAAAAAGAAACAAAAAAAAAAAAATGTAACCAGTAACGTTCACTTCTATAACTATCTATCGTATCGATCAGTGCAAGAGACGTATGCGCGTGCGCCGGTCGCCTCGCGTTCTGCAGTTGACGTGAAATTTGTGCGCTTGCGACGCGACACTATACAGTGACTAGGTGGATAGGTGTTGTGCTGTGAATTATTAATTTATGTGTTCGATTTTCAAACAGTTATTTTGAGGTCAGTAAAAGTTTTTTTTTTTTTATTATATTTTTCGGACTATTTAGTTTTGCTATCTACCTACATGTTTTTTGTTCGTTATTAAAACTTTATTTATTTTATTATTAAATAATTATATAATAGAGTTATTTGTATCAATATATTTATTAAATAAAAAAAATATTATGATAATACAATTAAAATTAATACGCTTGCAATATTATTTGAATTTATTTATTAATCTTTTATCTTCAACAAAAGAAACCAGTACTTTCTATTCAGAACAGCCAACACTTTGAGAATCTATTAAAAATCTAATATTAAAGTTGACAACAATAGGCCCAAAACTAAGATGGTAAATGTCTAAACATATCTCTTTCAGTAAATATTTCAATTTTTTAATTTCACAAAATAACTATTTAATGAACTATCATTAACAAAAATTATAATAAATTTTGACTTTACTCTATTTACAAAATTAATTCATATCGGCCTTTATAATAAAATTTTCACTGTGACATCAAATTGGAATTATAATTTTAGACATGGGTTTAAAAAAACGGCGCTTCAAACCCCAATACACAATTTCAATTAGTCATTTGTTCAAAAAACAATGTACATTATATCTATAACTATGTATGATTCTACAAAAAAGCATTAAATTAAATTGAGTATTAAAAGTAATGTAATAATAATAATAATAAACATATTTCACAATTAACAATGTCAAGTTCATACAAAATAGTTATGTCAAATTTATTTTTCATACTATTATTTACGTTAATCACTAGAAGCAAATTCATTAACGGAGTAATAACATTTTTCCAATAACATCCTATAATATTTACGTTGTAGTAAGTTTCGCGTGACAGCATAATGTTTTGATGATTTATATTGTATCGAACAAGTTTTCAGAGGTATAAGAAAATCGAATACTCTTATTTGATATTCTTTCAATTTTTATTTCTTTATTGTACACAAAAATTTACAAACATATAATATATGTATATTAAATAAAGAAAACGAAAAAGGAATGTTGCGTTGGTTTGGTCATTTGGAGAGGATGGATGAAAGAAGAATTACGAAAGAGATTTATCGAGCAAGAATGAATAGAGATGTCGGTAGGGGCCGCCCTAGACGGACGTATGTCGACCAAATAGGCGACGTGCTGAAGAAGGGCCAAATTAAAAGTACCTGTAACCGGCGAGCGTGTATGAAAAGATTGATGAATGTGGAAGAAGCGAAAGAGGTTTATTTGAATCGAATCATTTGGCGTTCCATTGTTTCTGCCTACCCTAATGGGAGATAGGCGTGACAGATATGTACGTATGTATGTAAATAAAGATGTACAACAGGCGAGCTTAACTCTGTAAGAGTTCTCTTCCAGCAAACCCTGAGTGGAAAAGAGCGTTAATTAGCAGCGGACAATGTGCGTACAATAACAGGAGGAAACAGTATAGTTGTTTCAATCATATGTTTCGTGGAATTTATTGATCTTTCATAAGTTTTTTTTTTTTTTTTTTGATGGGTGAAAATGGTATGGTAACCCCGCCTGCGCTAACGGGATAGATCTTTCATAAGTTACACCTTAATATTATTTTACTAATAAATTTTATTATTGGTATTTACCATTTGGGGATTTTACCAGTATTTGCCACGCTTGGTAGGCGGGTTGACAACAACATTTAGGCTTTAGTAATATTTTAAGAGGAACGCTGCAGCCCATCCCTCTACCATCTGCTCGAGGTCGTTCCTTATGGCAGTCTATGGAGTTTTACTGTTGGTGTTTACCTTTTGGGAATTTTACCAATAATTGTCACGCTTGGTAGGAGGGTTGACAGTCGCAGTAAGGCTTTAGTGATATTTTAAAAGGGACGCTGCAGCCCATCCCTCCACCATCTGCTCGGGGTCGTTCCTTATGGTAGTCTATGGGGAGGTCTATTTTCAGGATAGGTTTCTTCGCCATTATGTATATATATTTTCATAAACTGAGATAAAAAGTGTACCATACACTAAATTTCTTAACAATTGGTTAATCCTAAAGGCTCTAAAGAATAACAAACAAACTCCTTTTCATATTTATTTATTAGTATTTAGTAATATATCCTATATTTAGTAAGCTGTCATCTGCACCATGCTATAATGTACGCAGTATATTTAGCACTATATAATCAAGCCAGCTCACTGACGAGGTAAGTAAAGAAAGCCAAAGTATATAGACAGTATACTCTGTTATGTCCATGGTACTGCTCATGTCTATAGGCGACGGTTACCACTTTTCATCAGGTGTCAGCTTGTTTGCCATTCTAAGTTGTATAAAAAAAAAACCACTTTTTTACAACAAACTATTTCTGAGTTCGCATCTGGCAATGGTTTGCATCAGGTTTATCTACTTCATACTAAACAAACACCATAGACATCACAGTATCGCACCACCACTCTTTGGAATCAACTTCCAGCAGCAGTATTTCCGAACCGATACGACAACATAACCTTCAAGAAAAGAGCATATTCCTTTTTAAAAGGCCGGCAGCACACCTGCAATGCCGTTGGTGTTGTGGGTGATCATGGGCGGCGGTAGTCACTTACCATCAGGTGAGCCGCATGCTCGTTTGACTCTGTGTTGTAAAAAAATATATCTACAAATAATTTCATACCATACAATCTTCCGTCATTCGTTCTTTCCTTTTTTTTTTCTTAAAATTTTAAATTTAGAAACTTCCAGAATTATTTTCCATAAATCCTTTCCGGAACATGACAAATAACTAAGGCGTGTGTAATTATATTATTTTTAATCTGTCAATAACAAAAAAAAAAATAAACGTACGGCTGTGTAACGTACTTAAAGAGAGGCGACATCACGTCAGACGCCATGACACGTGCAAGCGTTTAAAATCGAAATTTGAAACTTAGAATTATTTGTTATTATTTATAAATACATAGATATTATATATTATTAGTTTTTTTTTAATGGGTGATAATGGTATGGTATTCCCACCCGCGCTATCGGTATACACTGGCGGGGCACCAGTGAAGCATGATAGGTGAGGATGAAGCAGGTCAGTTGGCCCATCGTGACGAATTTAACAAGAACTGTTCACGACGGTTTCCAGGGGGAAGTACGTGGAGGGCGACCTAATAGGGCATATTGCTGGCAATGGGGCTGTCAAACTCCATTGCTAACAATCTTTTTTCCTCCTATATATTATTAATAATATAAAATCTTCACATCGTTTATTTTATTTATTTATTTAAACATTAATGCACAGTAAAATTCTATGTACATTTGGCGGACTTAACACCGGACGGTGTTCTCTACCAGTCAACCATTGGGCAAACCGAGAAATATGTAGGCGGTGCATTTTCGAATAAAGAAAAAAAATATAGCAATATAGATAGATAGATAGATAGATAGATAATTTATTTGCATTACTTACTTACAGCACACAAATTACAACATACATATACGAAAAAAAGCGAGATAACATAAATAAAAAAAAATACACAAAGCTAAATACAATTTTCGTTTGTGAGTGTGCCATAGCAACACAAAATGGTCACAACTCGGTTTATTGCTTCGCCCTCAAAACAGCAAAGCACTGATATTCTGTTGCGGCCAAAGGGAATAGGGTAACAATAAAACAATACCACCAGATTATCCATACAGTAAACAGACAGATATGACAGTTTATCTAGCATACAAATGGAACATATAAAGCATCATTGCCATCATATTAGCCTTAGTTAGCCTTGTCATAGTTGCCACGCTTAGTAGGCGGATTGGCAACCGCAGTTAGGCTTTAAAGATGTTTTAAGATGGACGCTGCTGCTCAACCCTCGCCGTCCCTTAGTCGCCTCTTACGACAGCCACGGCAAAGGAAGGGGTAGCCTATTCTATGCTCGAGCAAACATGACGTAAATACATACATAGATATATAAACAATATATATTATTTGTAATACAAAATTTTCACATACATAGTATAAAGAAGCCGCTGTCCGCGTCTGTCTGTTTCTCCGTTCACTTCTTCTAAACCACGTAACGGATTTTATTACGGGTTTTACTATACAGATATTCTATTACGGAAGGTTTATATGTATAAATGCATCCTTAACTAACTAGTCGTGGGGGGAAAGTATGTAAAAAATGCTAGTAAGTGTATAAAAAATTCTGTACCGATTTTGATTATTATTTTGACAATCGATATCGTGTATTCCCATGTTGGTAATTTTGAAGCGACTTAAAAAGAAAGAGATTTTTATTGTTTGTAACATTGTAAAATATTTGTATGTGTAAAATAATACATTGTTTTAACAAATCATATTATGTTGGTGCAATAAAGTGTTAAATAAATAAATAAATAAATAAAATATTTAAAAAGAAACTAAAAAGGTGGCTGATAGAGAAATGTTTTACTCGGTTAATGAATACTTTAATAATTTTAAATCTTAAATATATGACTTAACTAATTGATTGTAATTTATAATTTACATATATAATTTATTATTAATATATAAATATGTTGACATTTATATAATATAATATAACGATATAAGTAAAATAATAGTAGCATAACATAATAAAAAAATTAAATTAAGATTAGCTGTTCGTCCACGATCTGGTCATTATCCATCAAAAAAATTTGCACATATGATGGGAAAGTCCTTGTCAGCCCATTGTCAAACTTGTAATACCATCGATGATGTGCATCATATTCTATTAGAGTGTCGTATAAACTCGAAGCAAAGAGAAGAATTCATGCGCCACTTTAACTTAAATAAATTTAATGTTGGTCTTATTCAATCTATGTTAGCTGAACTTAAACTAGAAATTTTTGAACATTTCTGTAAATAATTGATGCCCATTAATTCTTCTCTTTCCGCGTCTAGGGAAGGAAGATAAAGTTTTGTTTGAGAAATCAGTTCAGGGTACGATAGGGCTGATATACTTGTAGAAGGTAAAAGCCCTTAAAATAATATAAAAAAAGTAGTACAATTGAATGAATTTTGTACCCCAGATTC